CGGCCTTTTGTGTAGTCGTGCGACCCTTGCCGCAAATATTTATAAATGAAAACGTGTGCATTTCGTGCTTATTTGATTGATGCGCACTGTCCAGTCGCATAACTTCGTAACCCTTCTACTTATTTTTTCGACTGCCACGCCCTCTAATGACAATGACATGTTTATCCCTGCACTGGTACACTGGCGGCAATGTTTGGGGGCCCAAAGTCCCGTCCATTTACACCTTGAAAGCAGCGCGTTCGCAGCGCAATTTCATCAATTACAGCATTTAATCAACTCGTTAAGCCGCAGCCACAACACCTGCAGACACCTGCAACTGGCCAATAACAGGTAAAGCCAGAGGCAGAGGCAGAGGCAGAGGCCGAGGCAGAGGCCGAGGCAGAGGCCGAGGCAGAGGCACAGAGTTTGCCGTCGCGTGAGGTAATTACGAAAATGAAATCAGTCCCGAGTCAAGTTTCAGGCGAACATTCGGTATTGCAAAGGTATATGTGTGTGTGTGTGTGTGGCCAGGCTAGATTACTGATTGTCACATGCTCGTATGGTCTCCCCTCCCCACACCTCTGTGCGGCCCTTGCAACTTGTCAGCTCCATTACATGCAAAAGAATTACGTTTGCACTCGAGTTGAGCTTAATTGAAAATGGGCAGCATAAACAATGGACGATATGTTGTAGGAGATAAGCTTTTTAAAGCGCCTGACTGCTTTAAGATATTCAATTTTGGAAAGGCTCAACGAATAGATTCGGATTTAGATTATTTCAGTAATAGCTTCAGGTTACAGTGTTGCCAATAATTGTATATATCGATAAGCTTTTAAGCCGCACTCCATAAGGTTTAGAAAAACCGACCCAAGTCAAGCATTAAGCTTTAAAGTTCATGAAAGCTCATACTTCATATAGGTAAAGGAAGCTTAGACTCTAAACTTTAGACTAATGAATAATAGGAAAGGGGAATTAAGTTACTTGAGATGTTTAAACATCATTAAAGGTTGTTTAAGCTATATAAATCAATGGCTAATACATTTCTAGGAAACTATTAGCCTTTGTGAAAAGCCTTGCATATTAAGCAGCTTAACATATGCGTACCAGCTTCTGAACGGTTTCTCGTAAATCCATATCAATTAAAGTTAATTGATGAGTATTTGTACATATGTATAATATACATTACATACATACATTAGTATTGCGCATTGAGTAACTGTGTATTTCTCGTCAGTCGCGTTTATTGAATCTGATCTTCCCTAATTGTAATAATTACTACAGTAAATATATAAATATATTCATACATAAATACATATAAATATAGTATATTTTTTGCATTTAAAATCCAAATAAAAAATTCATAAATGCGCTATAGAGTTTACGGCAAAAGCTGCAATAAAACTATATAAAAAAAATAAAATAAATAAAAATAAAAAAATAAAAAATAAAATAAAATAAAACACAAAATAATGAGTTCATGCACAATTCATAAAAAAATAATCTGCATGAAATGAAATTCACTGTAAAACCGAATTTTATAAAATAAATTATATAAATATATAAATATTCACGATAAAAAAAATTCAAATCAGATAAAGCGAAATTTGAGCTGACAAATTGCTCCAAAAAGTATGCAAGAAAATAATTACAAACTCGCAACGCAATTTGCCAGAGATAATAAATATAATAAATATTTAAATTCCAGCGAACGTAATGGTTTATTAAATATTTAAGGCAGCTAAGATAAATTTATATGAAATATTCAAGTCAATTTGCAAATTTGCCTAATGAATTTATGAATTTAATTGCAAATTTTAACAGCTTTAACATTTTCTTTTGCCTTTTATAAACATTTCCTGACAGTCTCTCTCTCTCTCTTTCTCACCCTCTCAATTATTCATTAATTTATATCATACGCTTTGCAACGGCATCCTGCCACTTCCTGTGAGATGTGCAACAGAAAATGCCACTTAAATGCACAACAACAACGACAACAACAGCAACAAGGACCTCGCTGAAATGGGGTTGAAATTCACTGCAATTGAAAGGGTGAAATTAAATAATAAAAAAAAAGGAACGTTAAATAAATTGCGGCTCACTTTCACTGCGAGCCGTAGATTAAGAGAAAGAATTTCATGCAAAGAACCAAAATAAATGTATGCATAAATATGTGTATATATTTTTTTTTATTTATACATACATACATACACTTGTATGTACGTTTAATTGTAGCCAGCATATTTGCAGTCGCCCAACGTTGCGTATGCGCAATGTCTGTGTGGGAAAAAAAATTAAATTAATTATGAGCGCGTTTACGCTGAACATTGAATTGAATTGTTCGCTCGAGTGCGCTCTTCAAAAATCCAATAAATCATTTTGGACCCTGCCAACCGAGCCACACCTTCGCTGGCGTATTTCAAATTAATAAAGTTTCGAATGCCGCGTCAATAGCCATTGTGTGTATTTAAGCAGTGAATGGGACTGCGCGAAACTTCAAGCTTTTTTTGTATTGCAAATACAAAAGCAAACTCAAAATCATAGGAAACAAACAAAGCCGTTGCATAGCAAAAGAATAACAACAACAACTGCGCATTTTTCATCTTCTGCTTTAATTATTTGCAGGCTTGTCTCTGAAGAGCGGCAGAGCAACTAATATGCAAAATGTAAAGAGAGAGAGAGAGGCTAGGGAATGAGAGCGCCCATTGCAAATGTCCGATTGAGCAGAAAGAGCAGACACGATTTTGTGACTTTGTAAAACGTAGACATAGCAAAGCCAACAACAACAATCAAAAGTACGAGCTTTGTCTGCCTTGTCTGCTGTCCGTGCGTATGGAAGAGAGAGCATCTTAAGACTGTAGGCTGTAGGCAAAAAATATGAGGCGAGAGAGGATTTGCGTTCGTTTACTGTCTGCTATTGGAGTTAAGCCTGCTAAATAAATATGTATACGCACATTTATTTATGTGTAGGGAAGTGTGTGTGCGCGCTATCCCAGTGAATGTTTAAATACTGTGTGTGCATATGCTTATGTACATATATGTATAGGTATATGTATATGTATATTCATATGCATATTACAATAATGTTGACCTTCATACATATAAATTAAATTTGTGCGCACCATTTATTTACCTCACTGGCCAATTGCATTTCGCTCATATCTCACGACGTTTCACTTTATTTCTTAATTAAATATTTATGTATGCCAATTAATTACAGCACATAAATGGAGCAAACAAGAATATGAATACTCGCACACACAAGCAAACATATTCAACTGAAAGAGAAGGAGAGAGAAATAGCGGCACTTAGAAACTCAGGCACTCTCGCAGACAGCAGGCAGAACTACCGTTTTTTCCTTTTTTTTATCCCCAGCAGTGCAGCGAACGCCGAAGATAAAATTAAAGTAAATTAAAAATTCAAGAGCGCACTGACATCTCTTTATTCGATTTACTCATTGTGGGGTGATAAAGCAAAGAGCAATATGCCAAAGCAATGATTAACGCTACCGAATGTTAAGTGAAAATCGAGACAGAAAGTGAACGTTGTAAAGTGCTTTGCCTCCAAAGGGCGTGTCGCTGCGATTATAGCCGTTGCCCCCAACACATAATGCACGATTTCAATTTTTCGGGCTGCACGCCCTAAAGAAAAAAACAAAACCAAGCATTGAACCGTTTTCCAAGTCAATTTCCGGCGCTGGTAGCAATGACAGCAGGGTACTAACAATGAACATGGAGTAGTCGCCGAGGTTATACCCTGTGCAAAATAAAATGTGGGTAAGTGAAAATGGAAAATAAATTTTGATAAAATATAAAATATATGATGAGAAGAAAAATTATAGATAAATTACATTCATTTATGTAAAAATAGATAAATATATATGATATATTGACTTCTCTGACTTTGATGCGAAACTACCCTTTGTTATATGTATATAGGAAAAAATGAGGGGAAAAAAACTAGAGGGTTCAAAACACTCAACCATAAAAATCGTTGTCGGCTGCGACTGTGAGGAAAATAAAAATCAAATTTAAAAATAAAAACGAAATAATGTTAAGAAAGTCGCCGCGGCGCCGAAAAGCAGGCAACACACAAAAAGACAAACGACCGGAAGTGCGGGTAGATGGTTACTCGACTGAGTGAATGAGGAATGGGGTCGAGTGGTGTTTGCTTAGTCGCCTTGTAGCTGTAGCTGTAGCTGGCGGCGGGTTTTTTCGCTCTAAATGTCGCAATTTTACGAGTCAATATAAAGGTGCCCGGGGAGTCATTTACAGGCACACAGCGGTTTGGCTTCGTGCTTTGGCAATAAAAAGCGAGCAACGTGAATGTCGAAGCAGGACACGTTCAAAGCAGAAAAAAAAGAAGCAGAGAAGCAGCAGAAAACAGAGAGCTCAAGGAAACGGCAGGTTTTATAGCGAAGGCCACATAAAAATTTGTAGACAAGAAACACGTGTAATGTCATTTGGCCCAAAAAAAAGCAAAAGAAAAAAAAATGAAAGGGTTGCACCACCAACGGCAACAGCCATCGCACCACCAAATACTCAAATGAAGGCAATTTTTACCACCATAAAATATATTTTCTTGGCCTAAAGCTGTGAGTGGCAAAGCAGCTTCGGCTGATTTACGACTTGCTTAGAATAAGTTGAAAATTATTTTGGGTATTTTCTTAAAATTAATTAATTAATGTAATGAAAAAGCCCAGGGTCTGGAAAATAAATTATAGCTTTTAGGCTCTGAACTGAGCTTGAGTTTGGTTAAATTTTGGATGCAAAATGGAATAGTATAGAAGTGAAGGAATATAGAAAGGAGAGAAACTTAAATTAAAAATTTGATTTAGTTCTAAAAGAGTTTCGGTACATACTTTCTGCAGGTCCGCTCTAAACATAATCTTTCTATATTATATACATTATATATGTATATAGAGATATATATATATATATTTATTGATATATATTTTTATTAACTATATTATGACACATTTTTATTATTATTAATTAAAAAATAAATATTAAGACTATATATAAATACAATTATAAATATTTGAGTAATTTAGTTAATTAAGCTAATTACTTAAGCTCCGTTAATGGCCTTTTACCATTTACGTGTCCATTGCTTGGTTCTGGTGCTGGTCACCTGGGCGGTGTTTTTGGTGGTGCGAATGTCGCAATTGTGGCAATCGCCATTCCACTTGATATTGCCATTGCGCACATAAACTTTCTTTGTGGAGGAGGTGCGCACACGTATTTGACCTGAATATGAATATAAATGATAATTAATTAATTATATATTGCCATATTCTATCCATGTATAAACTCTTACCCGAAGGCGCCGCAGCAATCAGACCCAGCAAAGCCAGCATTAAGACACACAGAGCGAACCACTTCATCTCGTTTGGTTGAAGCACTGAATAAGATTTGTTAAGTGCTGAGCATCTTATATAGAGAAGCTCATCAGTTGTCGTCGCATTATCATTGCAAAGAGATTTATTTGCAAAATAATTCCCCCTGAACAAAAGCAAAGCAAAGGCAAATGCAACTGAAACTGGGCTTGGGGCTTGCCCAAGAATCGAATGTTAATCCCCGACGACCTAATATAATAATATTATTTGCATGTATGATGGTGGGCATTACTAATAGTATTTGCAATTCTTGTCAGTATATGACATACGAGACTGTTAGATACCCTGTAAAGCGTGTAAGCAGAAACGTGAATACATTAAATGATTATAGTTAATATATATGAAATCTGTTATGTTATATATGTATGTTATGTTATGGAGAAAAATTTTTATAATAATTAATTATTATTATTAAATCTACATATAAAATCTACATATAAATCTACATATAAAATAATAAAAATTCCTATTTATATCTTTATATATTATATAAAATTCATATTATATTAAATATTCATACATATAGCCTGATTATAATTTATATATACATTTTATATACATATAAGAAATATGTTTTATAAGAAAAAAGAAAAAAATTGAATTATAATTAAGTATAATATTTCCATAATTTCTACAACTTTATATAACAGTTATTCAATGCACAAATTTTCGAATTTTAATATTTTTTATAAAAATTGGAAAATTTAATATAATAATTATTATAAATAAAAAATTCGTCATAGTTTAAAATTCATTGAGGCAAGATTTGTAAGATTTGTTGATATAATTTTCAGGGTATGCGCTAACCTTTTTATTTATATTAAATTTAGGTTAATACTAGGAATGTCTGAAAGACTTGTGAGCTTCGAGTAATTGCATATAAAAATATAAAATAAATAATTAATATTAAAAAAAGTCTTTGAAATTGGTAATAACAACTGCTTTAAGCTGATTTCTAAAGTAAAATATATATTATAATATGATATATATAATATATAATTTTACAAACTTCTTACTTTTAATGAAGATAAAAAATAAATATAATTTACGAAAAAATAATTAAGAACTATTTTTATATATTTTAAGACAATTTCCATTTCTTTTTAGCTTGTTTTAGCTTGTTTTTAGCTACTTTTTGGCTTCCTTCACTAACATAAGCTCTTTAAAGTGCAGCTAGTCAAACATGTATGCCCCATAAGTACACCCGCTCACCCTTGCACACCCTGCATACCCATCAAAAGCACAACTTGACATACCCTATATAGCACAGCTTTATTTCAGTTCATGGAAATACAGTGAAATTTAGCCGCGAATGTCGCAGCCATTGCAGTCGGAGTTGTGGACATAGGAGCCGCCTGGCACACGTCCGCTGTAGCCCTCGGGCACCACATAGGGTCCGTCACCGCCCCTGCCACTGGCACTGCCACGCCCATTTTGGCCATTAATATAGACAGTGCCTTGGCCCGGCCGACCCTTGTACACCCGATCGCCCACCACTAGAGTCTCAGCATTGGGCGGCGAGCAATCCTGACAGACGCCATTGATGACAACAGCAGCTGAAGTGAGCAGATACAGAAATAGAGGATTAGCTGCTGCTGCTGCTGCTGCTGCTGTTAATGCTTACCTGTTGCCATGGCCAGCAGAGCAGCAAAGAGTAGAGCACAGGCAAATGAGCGCATTGCAAATGTGAATCTCATCTGTTCAGCAATGAGACGAACGGAACGGTTTTATATACAGCTTGGACGGCTTTGAGTTGCTTATCATATACATTACATAGACGGTGCTGGGGAATTACCCAGAGGCAAAGCTGCAACCGGTTAGATTAGACAAGGTCAACAACTATTTGGTATTGCTTTAGCTGGAACTGGAGAGTATATTTATTGGATGTAACCTCCCGCCCATTACATGGCCCATTAGCCGTTTATGTTGCAGCCGACGCAATCGTCGTTATGCACATAGGTGCCGGGACGTCCACGTGCATTGATTGTGGTCACACGGCCACCTGACCAGCCACCTCCGCTGCCTAGACCCGGATCAGTGATAATTTGCTGTCGATAGATCTGCCTTCTGTGGCGACCGCCTCGCCATATACTCTGCGCTCCATGGCTGTCCTGGCTCAGCATCCAGCCATCAAGATCATCTTCATCCGAGTTCTTATTGCTCTTCGGCCGGGACTTGGACTTGGGCGTGGTGGGAGGAGCTCGCGATGAGCTGGGCCGGCGTGTTGTCGCGCCATCCCTATGGCAATCCACACAGGCCCCATTGATGGTCACCTTGCCAGCTGGAAGAGCAGTTACCATTCGTAATTCCTTATCGTATGCCAGTGGCACTTGACTCACCTCTGGCACAGGTCGCGAGCAGCGCAACAATCAAGAGAGCGAGCAGCGTCAGGCACCTCATTTTCTTCCGTTCAACTCTGCTCGTTGTAATGGATCTTTTATACTAACTTCCAGGGGGTTAAATTGCCTGGAATCGTGCGCGATTCACAATCGAGATAGAGATTCAGCTGGAGCTATCGATAGATTGCCCTCCACTCAGCGTAGACCCAATGCTAGAAATACTAAATACAAAGTGAATATGTTACATAAACTGTATATGCTAGAAATGTGATTATACTATATGAATATATATGTACATATATTTAAATATTATTTATGTACTATATTATGTGGAATTGCCCGGATTATCAATACCTTAACAGCTTTCGACAACTGTTAAACAAAGCTGAACTCGCGACACGTTTCATGTTCTGATTAGGAGATTGCACTACGAATGTATATGATGTATATACATATACAGTATATATACTAAATAAAACATATATCGTTAAATGCGTATATAGATTAATATATATGATTAATTAAAAGTAAAATAGAAGGATGGTAGATAGAAGTTAATAGAAGATAGAAAGATTGGAAAGGAAAGGACTGTAGAGGAATCTGCTGAGAGAGGGTAAATCAGAAAGAGAGATTGACAGAGAGAGTGAGAGAGAGAGAGAATCTGCTGTTTAAGGGTGAGTTGAAAAGAGAGAGTGGTAGAGAATGAGAGAAAGTGAGGGAAAGATAGCGAGAGAGAGGCAAAGATAGCGAGAGATAGAGATAGAGATAGAGATAGAGATAGAGATAGAGATAGAGATAGAGATAGAGATA